TATTGGACTTTTCTCTAACAATTTGTAGTGTTTTTTTATTTTTATTCTTTGTAATTATTGTTTTTTCTTCCTGACATTAACTGATTATTTTGACTATTGTTTGAATTTGAATATTGACATTGTATGTTTCACAATCTTATTATAATAATCAATGATGCTAATAATATACCTATAGGCATTGATATACAAAAAAGGGTTTTTTTGTATATCAATGCCTATAGGTTATTTTAAGTTATGATTAAATTATTTGCAATTATAAATGTACAAATTGAAAATTTGTACACCCATAGTTGTAAAGCACAGTGAACCTGTTGTGAATGAATACCATGTAATTAATACCTGTGTTATGCAAATAAATAATCTGAATACACTGTGGTTGCATTGACGAGTTATGTGGAATGAAACTGATGCCAAAAATATATAAAAACAACATGTGGATTGGGTTGTAAATCGTGTCAATACTTAGGCACAATCAGTGTAGAATTTTTTGAGTTTTTGAAGCGTACACAAACCAACTAAACATTTTCATACATATAGATAGTATTAGGATTACCTCGAACTGTCTTTCGATGTGCCAACCCTACTTTTCCCCGTATTCATGGTGATACGTATAGAGAGTCGATCGTGGCGGTCGCGTGACGGCACCGCACCGAGCCCGTTTCGTACCCATGGCACAGTCCACCAGAACCTTGACACATTTGCCTTTGCTAATGTCAATTGTGTTACCAATCCAGGTTACGCGCCAATATAGACCAATTGGCTTTTAGACGCGACTTCGCTTGCGCTAAATTGTGTCAATCAACTTGAGAATTGTATATTTTTGGATGAAATGTAAAAATTTCAGTACACCCAGACTCGTATTTATAATATGTATGTAGTGTTGGGAATACGTCTTTATTTCAATTTAAATTTCTTTATTTCCTTTCACAATTAGAAATGTTACAACTTTTTTGTAAATAGTTCAGTACAATAAACTAATATGTTTTGCGCGTTGTTGGTTTTATTTGGGACAAAGATATATGGTTAAAATAGGTGGACAAATACAGTATTATATTTTGTTGTCTATGTGTCCTCATATTTTTATTTCCAAACATGGTGCCATTTCTACATTTCTACAAAATAAATGCAGAATTTGTTTGCCCTGATTTTCCTTTTTTTTTAAAGACAACTCCCGCATTAGGAATATATCCTGTGTCGCGGGGGACTTTACAAACATACATGAAACGGACACAAAGAACACCCAGACTCAGAACAACAATTTGTGGATCACACAAAGTGTCGTCCCATGTGGGGTTTTAACCCACAACACTCGGCGTAGTAGCGGCGTGGCGACCGCTTAAACCACTACGCCATCCGTGCAGTCCTCTCTCCAATTACTCTCTCTTCTCTTCTCTCCTCGTCAAAACTCGTATATAAAACTTACTTATCACAAAAAATCTAATTACTTATAGTGGGAAAAAACGTAGGACCTCATTAGTCATTTTAACTCAATTTTTTGAGGATAAAAACATATAAACAGTTGTGCAAATATAACCAATAAAAACAATATACTTTGACAACAACAACAACGGGGAGAATACCATGTCTCATATTCCATAAACCAGTTTATAACACTGAAAAGAAGTAACGTTCATGGGCTAGTAGTTTTATCATCACGTCGGTGTTTATGTGACGTCCTGGCTTTTAATTGAATTTGTTTTTATGAATAAGAAAATATGAAGCCGTCACGGCACGTCTAGTAAAATAGAAATAGATAGCTTATCAAAGGAGAGCATAAAAATAGCACAATTAAACATAATATTCAGACTTTTTTTTAAAGAAAAAGATCATTGTTTATTTAAGACACATTTAAAATTAACTAATTTAATACAAAAATGAAGTGGAGACAACTTAATTCTTTTTATTAGTGACTTCTATACCACATAGTGTGGCGACGCATGCCGTGACGACGCGTTGCCACGCCAACAGGCGGTCCGACCTTCCACATCAGAGGTTTTACACCAAAAAGCGGACAAGTGCGAGTATGACTCTCGCATGGAATGTTCCAAAGAAACAGTTTGTCAATTTTGTGCATTTTTTATGATAACAAACTTAATTTTGCCTTTAAAATATATTCTCCCCGAATGGTACAATCAATTTTTAAGTTCACAATTGTAAAAATAACTTTTTTTTAAAGTGCTATATCAACTTACATTTCATCGGTAAAAGAAAAACTTGAAAAGTCTCCTTATTTTGTGTTTAAAATAAAATCTACATTCGTATCCGCACGGATTATCCGATTCTCTTACTCCACCGACCGTTCAGTAAGCTCAACAAGTTAGTTATCTTTTACAAGACACATTTAATATTATTATAGATATCAAATGTTTAAAGTTCCCGGCATAATACGTGAGCGTGCGTATTATGCGTGATCAAACATTAAATGTTCATGCACACAAATGTTTGACGTGAGCGGGAATCGAACCCGCGACCTTTGGTTAATTTTAGACGAACTAACGTAATAGATGGCCAGCTTTTTGCCGTCCATATGACACTTAGGGATTAAATGGGAATATTATTAGTATATTGCAACTTAAGGTAAATAAAAAGAAAATATGATGCTAGGAAAGTTATATTGCTCATGGGAATATGGGCAATTGCTTGAGCAAGGCCCGGGTCCGGCACGCTTACCTGTAACTCTTGGTTATCACTAACTTTTAGCCAGTAAAACCTGTGACCAGGGTCAGGAAAACCTGGGCGAAACGTGGCAATTCAAGGGTGTGTACTTATTACCTATTGTGAGCCTGTTAATTCCCTTATGCACAATTATATACTCTTGGTTATTGCCGGTAATTGTGAGCCCTCTCTGTCCGTGTGGTGACGGATTAAGAATACAGAGAGTCAACACCCCTATTCATCCCGTGGGTGTCGTAAGAGCCGACTAAGGGAGAAAACTACGCAGAACAACAGCACTGCAGAGAGAAGGAAAACTTGACATAAACCCTATACCAACACGTCTGGCCAGCGTGGTATAGTAGGCCAAAACCTCCTTTCTAAGGAGAGGCTTATGTCCAGCAGTGGACTATTATAGGCTGTTGATGTGATGTGGTGAGCCCTCTAATCAAAACCTTATTTATAAATCTGAAATGCATAAAATGCGTAAAAGAATAAAATGTATTCGTATTTTATACAGGATAAATCTCGGAAGTTGTAAAGTCGATACAGATTGTCTGAATAGGACAAGTCTATATATCAATGCGGACACCGGCTCTCGAGAACCTGTTCTATATAGAGCTCTTGCAAAAAACATAAGCTAGTAAGCCTCGTTCTACAAAGTCCCGCCACAAACGTCCATATCAACTTATTACTTTCAATCAACGTTCTTAAACTTTGTCTTAATACAATTCTCTACATTTCATCTTATAATATTTAATTTAAAACTTTTGTACATAATTATTTAGACGCGGGAATGATCACGATTAATTGGTTTTGAGACTTGTTCAACCTGGTCGTAACATCATACAAATTTAATAGTCACTAGAGGACAACAGCACTGCAAAGAGAAGGAAAACTTGAAACAAACCCTTTACCAACCTGTCTAGCCAGCGTGGTTAACTAGTCCACTTCTGGACATAGGAATCTCCTTAGGAAGGAGGTTTTGGCATGGTATAGTAGGCCAAAACCTCATTTGTAAGGAGAGGTCTAAGTTCAGCAGTGGACTATTAAAGGCTGTTGATGAGAGATCACCTGTCAGTTGAACTTCGGCCATTCTGAATGTTTTTTTGATTTATGATTTTACTGTAACTTACTAGAGTTACAGTAAAATCATAAATTTTTGACTGAGTTTTAAGTATCATCATTTTATAGACTTTTGTAGCATAAGCCATATATAACTCAGCCCTTTTTACAATTTTTTTAACTTTAGAACATATATTGTTCAGAAATTATAGCTTTGTGCATTACAAATATAAACGTTAAATTTTCCACATGGTATAATGTTCTTTCTAGCGCCATATTTGTTTGGAAAGGGATACAAAGGATTTTCTTCACGAATTAATGTATGTGTCATCACGACACGAGAAAGTTCAACGCAAAACTGATAACAAGTTTTGTGTTTGGATCTTTTTTTAATGTGTTTCTGCATTCTTTAAGGTGTTGGTTTTACGAATTCAAATTATTAGACACATTAATGAAAGCTTTGTTGATTGTGATAAAAATATAGGTTAAAATTTATTGATACTCTAAACAAATACATACTTTAATACAACTTTAGAGTGTCTATTTGTAATAGCATAATATCAACTATTTACTAAATATATGTGAATACTATATCACTAGTTGCAACAATAAATGTTTGTGATTTGTTTTATTAATGAAAGTATACTCGAAATACAAAAATATACATAACATGTATCTACCTGATGCATTATAGGTAGCTATTTAGGGTCTGATTTAGTTTTAAATTGTGTTGAGACTTGACAGACAAGATTAAGACATTTTAAACCTGATGCCAGTTTAAGAAGATGATTTAACAATATCGATAGAGTTCTAGTGACTGTAACTTCGCATATTATTTATGGATAGAGTTCAATTAACACTATTTTGTAACTTAATTGATTATTGTATATATATTCTTATTGTTTTTATTGTTTGTGACGACAAACTATATTGACGACAGTAGAGGATTCATCAATACTCTTTAAATTCTTTTAATAAACTTGAGACAGAAGGACTCGGTAAATAATATCAACCGTTCATAATAATAAAAATATAACAACATCGTATTGATATTCAACTCACAGACGGTGTTTTCCACATGCAAGCAAATAATACGTGTAGGTACCTATACCTACCTCTGTTTTCATGATAACAGAGTTATCGCGAAACAATAACAGATGTGTCGCACCGAATCATCTGGGTCACACTTACCTTTTCCGTTAAGTTGTGTCTTCAACCTGTCCAGCTCTCTCGATCGACTGCGGCTTCGGCGGTGAGCTGATATTCTTCTCGGCGAGCGAGCCATGCTGCTAACACTGCTGCTGCTTCCGTCGCTGCCGGCCCCCGAAGGAGATGCGCCCCGTGCGGTCACCATCAACTCTCACATCGAAGCGCACGCTCACCCCACAACACTGCACTACAAACCAGCTGACACGGTAAACAAACGCGAACACAACACACACTGTTTGTAAACAAGATCTCGCGCGAATTTTCAACTCACGACAAGACTTGATAAGATACAAAGTACTAGCTAGTTGTAGATTTCGTTGAATATAAAAGTTAATAAAGTTGGTTTGAACGTTAAGGCACGAGTGTCGTGGTGAAGGCACAGCGAGTCACTGAATTCGCTGTTGTGTTGAGCGCACAGAGCCGGCATTGTGATGTGTGGCCAGAGCGCGCGCGAGTGTGCCACCGAGGCAGACACACAGGTGAGGGCCGCTCGCGTAATGGCCATACCCCACGACGCCACACGCCCGCAGCCATCTTACGTCACTGATAACACGATAACACATCAATCTGGATATAGTTTACTATTCGCGTAGGTTTCACTTTACGATATGTGGCGGGAACGAGTGAATAACCATGGGTTCTTAAGCAATATTTAAATTCTCTCGTGATTGTTGGTGATGACCAAAAATGGAGTCCCTGCTGCGCTCTCTTTACTCGATTCATTGTGCAGAATATAGCTACATACCTACATTATTTTATAAAATCTTTTTTTATACTAATTTCTTGAGTAATGAAATTAAACTAAAACTGACCTATTATTAAATCTCTAAGGCATGCGCTAACAAAGCGATATTATTTACGCATATTGTAGTTACTTCTTGTGTTGAGAAGGTGGCCGTGTAGTAGGTCGAATGAAATAGGCCTAGGCAGGTTATGGTACGCCGGTACTTCAATAATCTCATTGATATAAAAGAAAAACGATTATTTTGATGAGAGATTGACCCATTTGTCAATATTGAAAAGTAATCACTTGGGCACAACCATTTTGTGTGAAACTGTCAATGGTTAAACTATGATAACCAGATAGAGCAGTGCTTCGACACAAAGTGCCGGCTCGACCGGAATGATAGCACGGCCTCACAGACAACCAAAAGCTGCACGGATGCTGAGCTTTTGTGGGTTCGATCCCCAAATGGGACACCACTTTGTTGTTGTTCTGAGTCTGGGTGTCCTCTCTGTTCATTTCATGTATGTTTGTAAAGTCCTCCGCGATACAGGAAATATACCTAATGCGGGACAACTTCAAAAAAATAATGAATTCGTTAATTTTTTTCTAAGTGAGCGAGGTTACCGTCTAACTAACCCCCCCCCCCCCCCGTCCTCAACTCCCTCATTGTGGGAGTAGGACCCAAAGTTGTCACTTACCGTCACGTGACTCGTGTGACTCTTTCTTCCGATAAAAATGAACGATATGGCGTTTAAATGTACGAATCAAGAGAGAAAGGCGGTATATGTAGGTGTATTGGACCTGTCCAGGCAGATCACAATCAGCCCAATTCTATAATCGATCTGCAACCTACAACATCCACAAATCGAAACATTGATGATGTAACGAACTCACAGTAGGTGAACACAATACAATGTTAAACAAATCAGTACCTACATTAGTGGTTCCGTGAAAATATGAAGTAATTTTGTTTGTGGTATGAATTAGTCGGAGCTAACGTATACAGGCACGAACAATACTAATTAATCTTCACCTCATGCGGAATATTTTTGTGAACAAAATCAAGCTTTGTTATGTCAAGGTCACGTGTAGTTGCTAAGGGGCACGGGCTAGGTACTCCCAGACAGAACAGACAGACAGAACGTAGCAAATGCGTGTTAATGATACGCCCGCAAAAATACTGTCATTTTACAGATATTATAGAGCAGCAAGGACGATGGCGATTTTACTAAGCTTCGAATTTAAAAAAATTTGACCAGTTTCGTCTAACACAAAGCGCGCTTTCAAAAATATAAATGGATGGCATTGTAAGTAGTTTTAATTTTACAAAGTATGGTTTACATGTGTCAGTAGTAAAGATGTTACATATTGCCCTTATGCAGCGTTTTTGAGACTTAAAAACTAATTCTTTACCCGCTGCATTGCCGCAAAATATAATTCCGTATCTTATCGTTGATGCGACCAAGCCGCGATAGGCAGCGAGTATTGTGTCTTGGTTCACGGTTTTGTTTAGCATGTGTAGTGCATACGCATATTGGTTTAGTTTACCACACATCATCATCATCATCATCATCAACAGCCTTTAATAGTCCACTGCTGGACATAGGCCTCCCCTTAGAAAGGAGGTTTTGGCCTACTATACCACGCTGGCCAGACGGGTTGGTATAGGGTTTGTTTCAAGTTTTCCTTCTCTCTGCAGTGTTGTTGTCGTGCGTAGTTTTCTCCCTTAGTCGCCTCTTACGACACCCACGGGATGAATAGGGGTGGTGACACTCTGTATTCTTAATCCGTCACCACACGGACAAGTTTACCACACACCTTTTCAATTTGTGCATGCCACTTTAGAGTACTTTCAATTTGCAAACCCAAGAACGATGCTACTTTGATGTTAGTAATACTTTTATTGTCGTATTTAATGTTAATATCCATCGTATCATTTTCTTTTTGTCCAAAATTCATAATTGTCGTTTTACTTAAATTAATTTTAAGATTATTCAAATTAAGCCAGCTCACCAGAGACATAATATTCTCTTCGATTACCGAACTGGTGGTATTAATATTATCGTTATACGTATTAGTACGTATAGTACATGTCGATTGTTACAGCATATACACAGTGTCTACAATTTATTTTTAACATCACTATTCGTCACTATGACACCCATGTGAGGTCATTACAGGATAAGGAATGTTATACGTCACCCGTGTCATAAGTAGTGATGACCCATCCCACAGGCCGCAATAACCGCAATGGCATATTCCGACCATGACGCTTGGGACACAACGGCAAAGTAGGGTAAAATTCCATAAAATTTGAAAGATGAAGACCTATTCCCGTTTAATGGAAATATTTAGTGTGCATTAAAATGTCTATTTTCCTATGTGATTTATGACTAGGATTTGAATGGTGAAAAAATAAGTCATCCTTACGGAAATCGATGAATCATCTAGGTATTATAATTATTGGACTATTTTAATAATATGGAATTATCTTGAATTATATTTACGAAAAAATAAATTTTACATTCTCACCAGCCATTCAGAGTCAAATACCGGTCCGGTAGATAATTTCCCAGAGCAGTGCCGTAGCTCGCTTTCTTCGAATTCAAACTAACTTGACTATACTAAAACCAAAACCTCTCTCTTTCTTGTCAGATATTTACATAACTTCAAACTATTCATATTATGTTCCCCAGCTACTTTTGTAAATAAAAAGTTAAGTGATGTCATCATTCCTCCCCTTAGCAATCTTTTCCTTGTCGACTTGAACGAGTTCATTAAAATACACTCGACCTACTTCTCGCATACACTAACAGAGGGGGAAAACGAATGAATTCTCGTTATCGTAGACGGTATAATATTTAAATTTTTCCATCGCAAATAAACAATTGTGATCTAAATGTAATTTGTCCATGATTATATTATTATCATTCTCATCTACCTGTCCAACGCAGGTTCCACCTTCATATCACTTCAATCATCACATCAACAGCCTTAAACTATTTAAGGCTGTTGATGTGATAATTGCGGCCTAGACCTACACCTCTCCTTAGAAAAGAAGCATCAGGGAAGCACTCCACTATCATGGGATGCCAAAGTTCCTGAGGCGGCTAGTGGCAGACTATTTAGAGGAGCGTACCGTCGTGTACGAGGATCGAGATGGTAATCTGAGGTGTCACAGGGTTCTGTTCTTGAACCCCTCATGTGGAACATAGGGTAGTCGTACCCGGGCTGGGTGTAATTTGTTACGTCGATGATCACCCGATGTCACAGCCCGGGGGGTGAACTTTCAACAGGCGCGCCTGTCTACCAGGGGAGTCTCTCTGTCAATGGCACTGTAGATCAGAGCCTGCCTGAGCCTGAGCCTTCACAGTACACACCTGCAGTAATGCATAGTGGGTAAAAAATTTAATTCCCGAGAGGCAGTACAAAATGCCTTTGAAGAGTTTGTTGCCTCCCGTCCAGCTGATTTTTACAAGAAGGGCTCAATAAACTGCCAATGCGTTGGCAAAGATGCGTCGATTGCATGGGTGATTACTTCGAATAACAGAAATAAAAAAGTTTGAAAAAATAAGTACTTTCACTTATTGCATACAAAACATCAATTTCATAGGTAAAGACCTATTATATATCCTACGTCCTTTCCCAGGACTCTAAACTATCTCTATACCAAATTTCATCTAAATAGGTTCAGCGGTTTAAGCGTAAAGAGGTAACAGACAGAGACATACTTTCACATTTATAATATTAGTCTGATTAGAATGGTTGTGAAAGGATATAAGGAAGAAGATATTCGTTTACTACGCTTTCACGACTAAACCGATTTTAAACATTCTTTTGCTAATGGAAAGCTACATATCAGCGAGTAACATAGGCTGCTTTTATCGCGATAAATGTTTCATCGATTCTCAAACACTGAACACTTATCAACGACGTATTGTTTTAAGTTTAGGTGAAAGAAAGTACAAAAAAAAATATAATGTTTTTATGATTACTCTGTTTTTGAAAATGTAATAGTGCCACTGTAACAAATGATAGTTAGAAAAGTTAATTTTGAAATGAAATACGCTCTGTTGGGGTCCACACCAGTCAGGAATATTATTAGGATGTATAATTATGTTTACGGAACCTCACGATAGGTATTAAGTACATATGGACTGGCAGTCAGTGTCCACGGCCAGTGCAACTTGGTCGAAACTATAGGCATTTCAAAAGTACCTACTTAAATACCTATCCTACCAATCATACCTATATTACTAGCTTTTGTAAGTGGTCGCGGTAAATAGTAGCCTATGTCCTTACTCAAGAATCAAACTATATCCATAACAAATTTCATTTAAATCGGTTTAGCAATTAATGATTCCCCATTCGGTTACAAACATACATACAAGCGAAGCTAATATAAAGCGTGTAAAAAGGATGACCAGGTAAGTTTACACTGACTAACTATTTAGATTACTGCGTCTTTGATGAAATACGACTGATTAAAACGAAGACATATTACGATTTGTGTGTAATTTTTTCAATATCGTATTTACTTCTGAGCCTAAGAGGGCCTGGAAGTGAAAAGAAGCAGTTAAATCTAATAATTAAAGCCCTTATTTAATGACAATTTCTTGTATCTTCACTAACAATATATTATATCTCAAAATTACGGCACAATGATATCATATCGATTAACAATACCTATTATCTGACTGCTAATTGTATGACTGCCTCGATGGCGCAGTGGTAGTTTATGCGACTGCTGTGCTGAGTTCTCGGTTTCTATTCCCGGGTCAGACCAAATGTTTGTATGATCTGCAACATATTGGTTTCGA